TCTTCTCCTCAGAATGGTCTCTTGGCACCAGGATGGAGTGGGGCGCTTCTTGGGGCTCAGGGGTTTTGTTGCTCTAATGGCTGAAGCCGCCGCATCCTGCCTCGGACGGTTATTTCCCGGTGGTCGTATCGAGATACCGGACAACTCAGAGTGTTCAGAGGCTCGTGGAACGATTGTTGGTGCCTATGTGTCGACTTTCCCTCCGGAGGCATAGACTGCCTGGACTGAAGCTGGTGAAGCGGATATTCTGCAGAATCCCTAGTCTCACACCTCAATCGTGTGAGTCGTTCAGGAGCTTGCTGTAACATTGCGGTGGTGTTTTCGCCACCACCACGATCCATCTCACCAACTAGTTTAGATGACTTTCGTGACGATCGAGTTCCTAAACTTGCATGTGTCGAGGCTAGCCTCCATCTCAGCGGTTCGGTCAGGTTATGAAGCAACAAACTATGCTTATGTAAAACAGCCTTTGGCTGGATGGTCGCAAGCAACAGTACTCTACAGCGGAACGCCTGATCGCGTATGCCAACAATCTGTGTTCTACTGCTTCACACCCAGCTCATGCTGAAAGGTCATCCACTCACTGCAACCAAACGACCACGAATCTCACTTCCCCATCTTTCTCATTAGCTTGTTGCACATTACACTTCTTTTCAGAGAAGGATCAAAACGTTGCATCCCCACTCGTCTCATCTTTCCGGGCCTTTTCATCCCTTTCAAACGCCAAATATTCTTTCTGCAGACCCGTCAACATGTGCAGATTTCTCCAGAACTGTTCTTCATTTTCTTTGTTTCGCAGAGGTTGCCGGCTGCCTATTCTGGGGTCGTCCTGACAAGGTCATCTTCCTGGTATTTCTCTCATTCGACCGCCTCCGTCGTCTACGTGAGCGTATCTTGCCAGCCAGGAGAGGAGAGGTAGAGGAGAGAAAGAAGGGGGTGAGGAGGGTATTTGACCTTCTTTGATATACCGGATGTGGAGACCGCGCTCCTTGGGTGGGTTACGGGCGTAGGAATAGAAGGTGTGCTCTGATGGCATCGCAATTTGTTTAGCGATGGAGTGTTGAAAGAGGAGGCCTCGGGATTTGAGGGGAGGTTGGCGGATGTTTTGTGGGGTGAGAGTGGGGAAAAGGCCGTTTCGCCTCATGTTTGTCAAACGCAGCTGGCTGCCCCGCTCGATAGGTCACGGGACGCAATGCCAGCTGTTCTCGATGTCTCCAGCGATCACGTCTTCTCGGATATCGTACGTGTTCAATTCCGGGCGGTTGATCAGAAACAAGACCTGCGAAGATCTGCTCTCCTGAAGCCACAGGGTCTCAAGGAGACTGCCTCTTTCTGGCGCTCGTACTTGAGGCTCAGATCTAGATAGACGTGACCTACCTTTTCAAGACGTGCCTATTACGCTAGTGGCAAACACTCCGTTCACTCTATCAAGAGGAACCATAAGCCCATTAGGAGAGATCAAGGATCCAGATCTCCCCATGCCTACCGACACACATAGCGTTCATTGCATAACTGCCTGCCCTAAGATTGAAAAATTGAGCCTTGAAAGGATACCGATCGACATCGACAATGACTTCGACTGGAGGCGTCCTCCATTTCAAATTAATCGCGTGGACACTGCAGATAGAATGACGAAAGCATTGATCGTGGCAGTGGATGTTGTGTTCGAAAAAATAGTGAGCTTAAGTGCAGATTCCGGTGTGAACACATCTTGAATCATCTATGTTCCGGATAGACCGACGACGCGTATGTCACTGTCTGCCCTACGCCATATCTTCGTGTTCGGTGAACGGCTCCAAAGCAGGAAATTCCTGGCGTCAAGCGCGGAGATTTAAAGATACATCTTTACCAACACCACTGAGATACCCACCTCTATCATCGAACACACAGGCATTGCTTACTCGTCATGCCGCTCGTGACATATCTAGACCGGTGGTGATGTCAAAAGTCGTGCTGTTCTTGTGGAGAACACCGATGACGTAAGTTTTGTCAGGTGTATGTACGCATCAGACACATCACAGATGCAGGACTCCGAGGCTGACGGGGTGAATTTGATAGCACTTACAGCTATTCCGATAATGCGGAAGCTGTACGTCATGTGGCTCACTTGTGGGCATCTTTGTTTCTAAATGGAGCGTTGTACGCCAGATGGTGACCATGATGGCAGCGTGAATCTGGGTCAAACAGATGCTTCCGAGCGATTGAAATCTCAGCTTGACATGGAATTTATTTTAACTCTCCCTCCGCGTTTCCACCTCATCCGGCCGCGAAGCAACCGGCATCATATTGACTTCTGCCTCCAACTCAGCCTTCTCGTCTGTCGTGAGGTCACTCTTGGCCTTGTCGATCTTGACAAAGCCCACTAGCAGAAGCAAAGACACCCCCGCACAGCCAACACCAAACCAACACGCCACCTTGTAGCTTTCCTTGAGCCCAAGATGGGATGTAGCAGTGGCAACAACATCAGCGAACCCGAGAAAGACGCTGATGCCTAGGAAGACGAGGCAATTAATCAAAGCACCTGCAAGACCCTGTCTCTTCCTAGGCATGCTTGTCGTTATGAAGATGTTGCTGACGCTGTAGGTTATGTCGACGCCCACGGTTGCGCCGATCATAGCGGGAAAGATGTAGGCCCAGTAGTTGGGGTTCTCGGGCATTATGGCGAACATCAGGACACAAACAACGTAGCCAGTGGCTGAGATTATCATCAGGGCTGTTCCTGGTAGTAGATGAAGCAGGAAGCCGCCCGCCGTTGCGAGGAAGATGCCGCCTGCAGCCATTGGCGTATACCATGCCGTTGTCTGCAAGGAAGTCGCATGCAATACTTTCTCTATACTAGGCTTGAGGTTAGCGTAAAAACATAGCTGGGGGCTGATGAGTACACACTAGAAGCTAGCATAGAAGAGGTATATTCCAAATACGCCGTATGAGAAGAACAGCGCAACCACAAGCGCCTTCATATGCTTGACCTTGAATAGATCGAATGGTAATAGAGGCATTTTTGCAATCCACCCCTCAACGTAAACGGCTCCACCTAGAAATAGACAGCCCAAGACAAAGGTCACGTAAATGTAAGGTGTGTTCCAACCATCAGGAGCATGAGAGCTATCAGTAATAGCGAAGACAACCAACAACAGCCCTGGGACGATCGTAAAGACTCCCAGCCAGTCCATTGTGACTTCATAAGCCTGCCTCTCGTAACGATCGGACGGTATCGTCAAAAAAGCAATGGAGCTAATCAGAAACAGTAATATCGATCCAATCCAAAAATACCAACCCCAAGGTAGATACTGTCCACTCAGTCCACCAAAGAAAATACCTGTGAAAAAGCCTATAGGCGAACAAGCCCCATAAAGACTGAACACCAGGTTTTTTCTCGGCCCTGGGCGATAGATGCTTCCTAGCAGCATGACCCCAGCAGGTAAAAACGCAGCAGGTCCAAGACCCTGAAGTGCGCGGCAGAAGTTTAGCATGAGGTAATTGCGGCTGAAGCCTCCTATCAAAGACCAAAGGAAGAACCAGATCATCCCGAACATGAAGACGGTGCAGCCACCGTAGATGTCGGCGAGGCGGCCGAAGGGAAGTAAGAAAGCCCCCGTGATCAGAGAGAATACGTTGGCGGGCCACGTCTGTGATTGAGCAGGGATGTCGAGAGCGGTTGCCAGGGTCGGTAGGATCACGTTGAAACCACTGACGAAATATTCCTACCGACATGGTGAGTGGCCGGTGTTGACATAGACTTGGGCCAGGAGTACTACTTACTGCCATAATCATGGATGCCAACAGTGAGAAGCAAAAGCCAAACTCTGTCCATACGGTTTTGAACTTGGCAGGTCTTTGCCTGCCAAGCCGCTCGATGCGGGCTTGCATGCCTTCCCCTTCTTCAACCCCTGCTGGATCCTTCGGTGGGCTACCACTGAATGCTACCTCGCTGAGTGCGGTCATTGCACCCGTATTTGTCTAATAAGAGCGTCAAAAACGCAATTGTGGGGTAATGGGTTCAATAAAACTTGAGTGTGTCTATCGGACTCAAAGATAGACTGCTCTCGGTGACAGACTGATAAAAGAATGAAAGAGGCAAGAGATTAAGCGAGTTTAGGACCACCCGCCGGCAAATTGGCGCCTTATTTATGACAATAGCGCTCTAAAACCCACCAATCGGTGTAGGTATGATGATTTCGGTGGTCAGCGGACATAAAAACCTCGAAAAGAGTCTTTTCATCTTCTAGCAAGCATTTCAAGACCGAACGCCATGTTATTGGTATTGAACCACTGACACACGTACTACCAGGAAGGTGAAATGGCGTAAGTGTTTGGAGCGTGTCATGTTCATCATTCTGAAGACTTGCAAAACCTTGCAATTTTCTTGGCTAGCAAAAGCCCGAGCTAACTGTAAATGGATAAATTTTCCGGCGAATGATGATCATGATTGTCTTAATGAGGGGGGAAATCGTAGAAGAATGTGTTTCCTATGCGACTGGACATTATATTCATAGAATACGGTCTACTTCAGGAGATCACTGTTAACTCGGAGTATACTTTAGGGTACTGTTGCCAAGCAATGTCACGTGCTGGCATTTCGCCGCTAGTGCGCCAAACGCGTCTATGAATCTTGACGCACAATCGTCCCACCAGTCTTTCTCTATCACCACACGTTCCTCAGCTCCCTCAAAGCTTCTATGGTCTTAATGCCTGGCATGACACAATCTGAGTTTTCGATCTTAGACTCACTGACTAGTCGTCAAAGCAGGAGAAGGTCGTAATGATTACTACGGCCCCAACACTCAGGGATACTGATTTCAATCTGCAGCTAGCTCACGTCTTGCTGTATCCCTAGTCTATTGTGAAAGAGTTGAAACTCGAAGTATGCTATTCTAGCCGAAGCATAGTCGAGACCGCGCCAGTCACACCCTTTGGCAGCTTGTCCGACGTCCCAACAGACCAATATCTCCAGTCTCCCTCCTGGCGAGGGAAATTCGATTAAGCCCCTGTGAGTAAACATGGCACGACCAAAGACCAAGAAAGCTCAGAAGACTATCAACGACTCAGATCCCCTGCCCACAGCTCCAACTGAGTAAGTCTTCTATTTGAATTTCTTAACCCTTCCGGAGGGCTTCTTCAACGCTCCGAGAGTTCCATACATCGTAGTCGTGCAAATGTTGTTAAAACGCTGTCATCTAGAATCAATGAACTTACCCATCATTAGGTCTGAACTTCCAAGGTTCCCTCTCAACCGTATGCCGGTGGAACTAGTTCACATGATCTTTAGCTACCTCACACCGACTCAAGTAGCTAGTATACGATTTATGAGCAAGATGCTCGCTGCAATCGGCCTCGAGTACATCGCTACAACGGTCACACTCACACTCAAAGAGGACAGCTTCGACCGACTACTGGAGATAGCTTACCATCCTGTCATCAACAAGTTTGTGCACAGCCTGCATTACGAGCACGACTTCTTTACGGATTTAGAACGAACAGAATGGGAGCGTAACATCAAAACGCCAGAATTTATGGCCGTTCGAAAACGGTGTTCCGGCATTCCAGTTCCCACCTTCAATGCTAGCCAACGGGCCTGGCGAGCTTATCATCGCGGGCGTGGTGCTCTCAAAGCTTGTAACACGTACGGCAAAAAACGACTAGATCAGGCTTTCTCGACCTATCAAAACTATTGCGCAGAACAGGACCGCGCTTGGCGATCGGACTTTTTTTCCAGCAAATTGACAGATGCACTTCAGCATCTTCCAAACTTGAGAACAATCTACATGCCAAAGCACGGCAATTATTCCCGCTATCAAAAAGAAATTGCCCAACTTCTCAATGGCGCCTTTTACGATCAGCCATCCATTGAATCGGATAGTGTTGCTGTTACTCGCTCACTACTGCTTGCGGTGGATGAAGCCATTCACGGAGGTCAAAACGTGAACACTCAAGCCGGCAGCGCTGGTAGTGAACCTGCTCGGAAGGCAAGTAGCCGGGATTCACGCAATGCCAATTACAACGCTCCGACAGCCAGCAACCAGGTCAGTGCTAGTCTAGGTGGCAGGACACCGAATGGCGGCTATCTACGAGGAAATGATTCAGAAGGCAGCAACCAGCGTGTTCTTCGAGTCGGTAACTTTATCTCTGGGTCCTTCAATTGGAGACTCCTCTTGGAGGGCGATAAGGTCTTTGTAGCCATGAAGAGAAGCATATCTCACCTCACCAAACTCGGCATACATCTTCTCGACGATTGTTGGATCAAAGAGACCAGGCCACATTTCGCATCCCCAAGCGACATGGAAGCTCAAAGACAATGTTTGATCAAAGGACGTTTCCCCGAATTTATGAATTCGGCGCCTGGTCTCGAAGGGCTAAGCCTCTCCATCGGTCCAAACAATTTTTGCCGTCTAATGGTTGTCGTCGGCTTGTGCCACTGGCCTTTTTTGAAGACGGTTCGCTTTCAAGGTTTCAGAGTCGGTATTCATAGCCTAGAGGGATTCTGTTCGAGACACTCTTCCACGCTTTCCAACCTCTCACTAGGGGATCTTGAAGTGGATGAATCATCGTCACATCCAGGAAAAGCCTCTTCCTACACAGTGTTTACCACGATTCGTGAGACCACGAAGCTAAAAGAAGCCAGCGTGTATGGGGTCTTCGATCTAATATCGCAGCTCTGGAACATGGATGACCATAGAGATGTCCGTCGCGCAAGTGGGACGCTGATCGGACGATACCTCGTGGGTGAAGGGGGCGATAGCAGCCTCGAGGATTACTTGAAGGAGGAGCGCTCAAGGATTGCCGAGCAGGAAGGGGAATCTTTAGTCAGCGACATCGACGCATCACATATGAACGTGTGGACAAGTGAGAGTGAGGATTCTTTGAGCGAAAGCGACGACTACGTAGGAACGGGAGCTCGATTATGGCCATGACCATGGCGGGCCTGACTATGGGTATCCAGATAATCTGAGCGCGGCCGGGTGTCTACTGTTGTACAAAAAGGTCGAAGCATACAAAGCTGAGAATAACCAAGCCTTTCCGTAGCTCTAACGGAGCATTACTCAATCGCCTTCATATTTACAAAACAACCTCTGTGCACTTGGCGACTGGGTTTCCTTGAGATACTGCTACACGTTGTCTTTTGAACAAAGCATCTCCTACTCTCTTCATCATTATAAATCGACAGACCCATGTGACAGGGAACGAACAAAGCAGTATTATCCAACATGGCGGATGAAGTCGACGGCTTTTTCGAGTCTAGGTTCAGCGCTAAGAAGGACAGGGGCTTCAAAGGCGCGATTCCCACGCGCCGCTGAAAATTCGACGTGTCAAACATCCTCGCCCATCCTTCGACGAACATTCAGCTTCGCCAATGGACCTTCAAACTCTTTCCTCTGCACTCCCGCCTCCCAGGCCCAGCCTCCTCGGCATACCACTCGAGCTCCGTAACGAAATCTACCGCAACCTCCTCTCCACCGGCCGCAATCGAATCGATCTCGGTCTCGGCCGCGCCCGTTACAGCCTCCAAACGGCCGTCTTGGCCACCAATCGCCAGATCCACGACGAAGCCACCGCAGTCTTGCGCGAGAACAGGTTCATCAACATCATCACGTCATGGACGTCCTTCAAACAGGACATCCTCGTGCAAGGCAAATTCCCCATCATCGCCGAAGGCGACGACAGATCCCCGTCCCCGGAGTCCCATATGCTCGTGCTACTGGACTTCATGGGCGACGTGGACACCTCGCGCCTGTACGCCTACGTCACCTGCCTGGCCGATTTGCCCCATCTCTGCCGACTGCTCTTCTACGCCAGCAGTCTGAGCCCGAACTTCAGCAGCTTGCTGCACGTCACGCTCGCGATCCGGGACCCGCAGGGGCGGGCGGAGAAGACGGTCGTCCCGAAGGCGCTGCAGGAGGCGCTGATGATGCCGTTTGCGGTTTTGAAGGGCCTGCACGGTTTGACGATCAAAGGGGCCAGGAACAAGGCGGTGGAGAAAGAGCTGAGGAAGGCGATGGGCGTCCCTAATCCCACGGCGGCTGAGTACCTCGAGGCGGCGGCGGGGCTCAAAGATGCCGGGAATGCTGCGTTCAAGGTGGGGGACTACGCGCTGAGCATTAGAATCTACATCCAGGCTTACGAAGCGATGCATTTTATCGTGGAAGGCAAACGCTTTGCCATCATGCTGGACGGCTACTTCGCCTCTAACCCGCTGACCGGAGGCCGCTTCGAGGGACAGCGCGGCGACTTGGTCCGCCACCACCTAGGCTCGCAGCTAAGCTGGAACATCCTGGCCGCGTACCTCAAGATGGAAGATTGGGAGCAGGCGTACTTCTGGGGTGAGAGAGCCATTTCGGACATCGAGTATGCGGACGTGCAGCAGAGCATACTGGATGGGACGCCGAATCTTGTCACCGGTGCCGAAAAAGCAAAGGTCTATTGGAGGATGGCGGTGGCGAGTCAGGCGTTGGATAGGAAGCAGGTCTGGGCCAGGAGCCTGATGAAGGCGTACATGTTTGCGCCGCAGGACAAGACCATCATGCGCGAGATGGAGGCGTTGGAGAAGCGGTTGCAAAGGCATGAGTTGGATCTCGAAGACTTTAAACCTTGAAAGGGATACATGGCGCCTCTCGCTTCCTATCTTGAGCAGTGTCATTAGCGTGATTGCTTCGCGGATTCAACGCAACGAACGGAACTGTTTCAGAGCCATCATGAGTGTCTCGTTCGGATTCACAACCGCATTGAAATATGGTGAAGATGAGTGGTTTAAATGTATGCTTGCTGCTGGCCTGCATTAAGTATAGAAGATTAAACATCAACTGCAATTGATCAAAATGTGATACCGTCGTACTCCGTCGTGTGCGCGAGAAGACTTGTCATCGATGAAGGTCGAAGCCAGATTGTACGTCTCGATCACTTGGATACACTAGCGAGTCAAATCGCGATGGGTGTGAGCGGTTGGGTCTTGTTTATGAATTCGCCATTGAACTAAAACTACTTCTATGATCCAACGCGTACAATTTTTAAGGATAATCCAACGCGTACAATCTTTAAGGAAAAGTCATCGTGAGCACCGGCAGCGTCGTTGAGTGCGTCGATCCCTGCCCTACTCGCATCGATGCGTGAAGTTATCGCGCCGCGATCTGGTCATGCACGGTGGTACAAGAATGGCCGGTGAGAGTCTTGGACCCAGGGGACGCTCTCGGGGCCTTAAGGATCGGATGGGGGATGCTGGGCCGCGCTGAATTCTGTTACATGTTCAGCTGCCGTCACACCCATCATCTTCGAATCTTAGATCCGTGGGGAAGTTCTCGCTGGGCGGAAGGTTTCTTCGCGCGGACGGTCCGGTTCATTCATCAGAACCCGCCACCAGGCTCCTGACTTCTGCATCCATCCATTGATCTGTATCCGTTCTGCACAAGCCGGACAAGCATTGCCACCCGTGTTGCAAGAGTGTGCTTTGTCGATGCGTGACCTGAACGTAAAGTATGTACTTCCGAACCCGTGGACGATCTTCCTTCCCGGGCCCCGGGCGCCAAGCTGGCCTCTTGAATGCAGAACCACGAGCCCGCGGTCACAAGCACGGGCTGTGACGGCCGTGGTAAGGAAGCACCCAGAGTGGTTGCCCGGTGTTATTCAATCGTTGCGGATTCAATCCGAAGATGGAAGCCGCGAGGTTCAGAGGCATCGTGAACGGTACCGACGGCATCCTGCACGTTAGCCACGATCGAAGTTCCGCACGAACGAATACTTGCCCGATCCCGCCACTGGGGGTTTTGCCCCAGACGGACGTCACGTCCTAGATCGAGACTTGGCTGGGCTGGGCTGCTCCGGCCTGCGAGCCAGATGGCTATGTGTACCTGATCTGATCCGCTGTTGCAGCCAGCCATATTCCATGGTTGGTTCGTGAATCTTGTCTGACGCTGACGTTGGTGGGTAAGTAGGCCAAGCGATTTCGATTGGGGTCTTCGTTTTCGCTAGTGCTACAAGATCGCTGATGGATGGGAGTGTGGGTTCCTCCCGGCGTGCACACGGTGCGCCAGTATCCAGACGCTGCAAACGGAGGTGCGGGAGATTTCGACGCGGAGTGAACGAGCAAGGTAGAGCAGGATTGATATTAGAGTTGAAGCAGCTGGCAAGTCAGTTAGAGGGATAATTTTTAAAGACAGCGGCGAGGAACCTTCAAATGTTTACTGTAATGTTTTTTCGGAAGATTTTATCAAGCTGAGTACGACACCATTCGAGGTACATGACGCTGAGTATAAAAACAAAAGCCAGGGACTGTCACCTCGCTCCGATGTCAAGACCCCGCAGCATCCACGTAGGATCTGGCGATGGGTGAATGTGAGAGCTTGGCCCATCTAAAGATGTCAGACCAATGTTTTCCACTCTGGCCTTAGCCTTGGCTTGTGAAAGGGATCGTATGCTTTGAAGTGAGTCCGAGGGGTCGCAGCTGGGGCATGTAACACCAAGCTCGAGTTGGAGTTGAGGTAGAAGCGTCGGAGGATGTTCAAAAAAGTCGTGCTAGGCCTTGAGTATGATCCCAAAGGGATACGGTAATGAACTGCACGGCTAGCAGCCAATTTCGGGGGAGTGCCGCCGCCGACTGGGTGTAGGTAAGGCCCTGAAGGGCATAAAGCCCCTTCATCCTCTCACGCACCGTGAACTACTCCGCTTCCCAATCTTCACCCATTGTCTTCTCTGTAGAAGGCCTCCATGTCGCTACGCACCTTCAACCACATATCCCCAATGATATTCTGCCCCTCCGCCTCAACCCTATTGACGTCCATCCAATACTTTTCATGCAACGCCGCAGCGCCCATCGCATACTCCTTGATCGACGGATACGTCGAGGTCCACTTGTAATACACATTCGTCCACGGCATAGGCCCGTCCCACCGGTGTGCATAATTCAGCAAATTCTGATCCGGGAAGTTAGGGTCGAAAGAGTTCTCTCGTTCCATGATAGAGGTGTAGTATTCAAAGATTGCCTGCGAAGGCTTGAAGACCATGAAACCGGAGCACATCCATTCGAGCGAAGGGTCGGGCGGGTATTTGTGCACACGGTCGGTTTGCTGGGCTTGCCCTGCTAACATGAAGGAAGAGGGCAGCGGCGCTGCCTCATTCTTGTTGTCCACGTCCTTCTTCGGTCGCTGAATTCTTGTGCTTTCGTCCTCAAAAATCGCGTCCAGGCGCCGCGCGATGAACATGTCTGCGTCCATGTATAGCATCTTCTCGTATTCGGTCTGCTGAAAGACTCGCAGTTTTGTCATTACGCCCTGGTATTGTCGTTTTGTGTCAAGCCATTCCGGATCGCTAATGCTGTCCACCACCACGACTTTTGCACCATCCTTTTCAAGTCTTGCGCGCTTTGATTGGGAAACTTCACTGGAGGCGACGACGATGAATGGGATGGATGTGTTTGATCGAGTCTCAGGCTGATGCATAAGTTGATAGCCGAGAACGCGCGTGGCTGGTTAAAGTTAGTGGTTTAAGAAGATTAAGTTGTTCGGTCGGTGTGACACACCCACGAAATAATCGTCCTCATCCTCCGTGGTCATTCCTTGTGCTTCGTCGCCGCGGTTCGTGCCAGTGTGGGCCTCGAGGAAAGCAACGAACGCTCTTCTGGGCTCGTTCGGTACTGCCGTAGCAGAGGACATGGCGACATCGACTGCTGAGGTCTCGGCTATTGCAGATGGAGAGGCATTGTCCGCAGTAATCTTTCCTGTTTCTTGCTCGTTCCCAGGTGTAGATATGGTAGCATCGGATGTGGGCTTGTCACCAGAAAGTTGTACGAGCGAGCCATTTGAGGCTGCTGTGGCATCTCGAGGATTATAGAGCGTGAGAAGTATGATGAAGGTCACTGCAAGAATGGCGCTGGTAGTGAGAATGCGATGCGAAGTCAGTTGAGATGCGGGCGACAACATGGTGC